CAATATTTTGAGTTATTTTGCATGGCCATAACTATGGAAGAACCTTCTGGGAACTAATTGGCTAGTGAGCTGAATAGAGAATACAAAAATGTCTTCTGCATTCTGACTGGTTGCTGCATGTACCCATCTCTGAAGAGGAATAAGTGGCATATAGACAGAGACAAGGAGATTTGCAGGTAAAACAATCCTTGTTTTTTTAGCTGTGATGAACATGTGAAGCTTTTTTATGCATTCAGGATATGTACTCAGTTTTCTTCCACTGTTCTTACATTCACTGCAGTTATGTTGTTCATTGTCAAACAACCATAAGCTGCAAGTTTGCTATTTGTTTCTTGAAACCAAGAGGACAAAGAACAGGGTTTTGATATTTTGTAATAACAGTATTAATGACCGATATCATTTCATGCAAGATATTTAATTAGTATTAGTATTAGGCTTTCCTGAGAAACTGCCATCCCTAAACAGCTAGTAATTAAAATTTGGTTTTAGACTTAACAGCATAGCACCGTCATCTCAGTGCAAAATCCATCCATATTCACATCTGAAACTTTGTTCCTAGTAGTTACTGTCTCAATGTTATTTATGTTAATTCTACATGCTACATGTGCGAAATATTTCAAAATACTGGTTTTACAATTCAACTGTATTTTTTCCAATAAACTAATATTTTTTTAACAAAATATTGCACCAGGTAAGTATATGTCAGTGAACAAAACTACTGAATGAAACAAGGACTTGATCTGTTGTGGTTGTGTTTTGAAACAGTGTTATACATCTTTATCAGTATGAGCAAGCCTCATAGATACTGTGTCAGAATTTCTGTCTTTAATGGTATTCTTTGCAGTAAGTTATTAAATAATCTAAAGCCAATATTCTACAGCTTGTTGGGCTTCAGCATTTATAATAAAGCAATTGCACTGTTTTCCACAATATGCTTCTTGGCAACACATTGAAAACTCATTCATTTTCCAGAGTACCAAGGTCCTTTCTCTGTTTTGCACCCCCAGGGATACAGAAGTACTGCACAAAATATCTGTGTCCTCATTCTCCATCTACTCCTTCATTCCACTCTTTTCCCTCCTTAATTTCTTTCTTATTTTTCACTTTCTCTCCCTTCCTCCAAAATGTTGTATTTATTCACCTAAGCATGAATTCATCATCATAATTTAGGTTGATTACAAAAATACATTGTTTATGCTTTCCCTTCCCAAACGTGGAGTGGAAAGTACCCTGGGTAACCCAACTTCTTTTATCACTGTCAGACCATTGGGAGAACTTTCTGTACTTTTATGGTGCAAAAAGGGAGGGAATCCCCTTGCCCAGATTTGATTTTTGCATATGCTGTAACTGTGCACTCACGCCAGCATCCACCTCCATGCAGGTACACTCTTGTGTCAATCTGCAGTTGTGTTTGTTTGTTTTTTAATTATACAGACAGTAGAATCTGCATCCTTACTAGCATATAGAAAAATCACAGACACAATGCAACCAACTGTGTAAGTATTCTTTCATTATTTAGATAATAAATACCTTTTTGTTAAAAAAAATAAAAACAAAAGATAATATGGGTACAATTATATAAATATATGTTCCTTTTTCTAAATTATAAGTAAAATCCTTCTTTAAATTGGAATGAGATCAGTAATTGTATGACATGCAGATATTCCTAATACAGTAATAAAATAGATCTTATTTACTGCATGTTCCAAAGTAATGAACTGCTGTTTATATAGTTACATTTTGAATAATACATACAGAATTTCTTCATTTAAATCCAAATATTTTGTGATCATGGAATCTTAATTAAAAAGTGCTCTAGTGGGCTATGAAATATTAGGTAGTTCCCTTAGCATTTCCTTTGCTTCATTCTGGACTGGACAGTGTAAAATTCTGAGATCCCACCAGTATTACTCATTATCAGGTGTCATCCCACAGTGTATAAATATAAGGCAACCAAATAATTAAGTCTCTGAGAAATATTTAAGCTCCCAGTAACATAGCTCACAAAATATTTGGATCTGTAGATTGGGTGATATTCTTGGTAGGAGTTTACTGTTTCAGGGTAAGAATTAAAATAATCTTACTCTGTACAGGGCAAAACTTTCAAATGATTTCTGTTCTCTTTTCTTGAAAAGAAAATTGTCATTATTTCACCATTGTTAGGTTGGAGAGGGTCCTGTGTCTTGGTGTATTTAATGTTATCTTTAATGTTTCACTGTGTAAAACATAACCCGGGTACAATATGACAGCATTTTAAAGCATTTGTTACATGAAATATTGAAAATATTGCAGCTGACACAATGATATAAATGTTAGCCAAGATTTTCAAAACTGGGTGCTGAAAGTTACGGCACATATTCAGCATGTTCCAAAAATCAGGACCCAATAAAGAAACTATAGGTGGCTGTCCAATAATTGAGGGATTCAGTATTAGTTATCATTCTTTTTATAAGTTAAGATATAATTATATGTTTAAGCCAAGTGCCTGAAATCAGTGGGGACTACTCAGTAAGGTGCCTAAGTTTCAGACACCCCATAGTTGTACAACTTGACAAGTATACTTCCTGGGACAATACTTTAATAAGACAACATTCCTAAAGAAATTATTCACCATATCTTATTGTTTCTTACTGTTAGACACCGTACTAAATACCCAGGCATAAATTTGTGCAAAGTATCCTTTACTGTGATGACTCAATAACAAGAAAAACAAATGACCAAGTATGCATACGTCATTGAGAACTTCAAAAAAGCATATAGCATTTTCTGATTGAGTACCCTGATTTTATAAATATTTCTGAAATATCTGTAGTGTTATAATGTGCACCATTGATTTTTATTTTTTTTAACCCTGGTAATTTGTAATTGTAAATGTGTTTTTTGTATCACATCATGTCAAAAGCTTAAATTAAATTCTGTTTTATTATACTCTGTATATGAATGTAACTGAACATAAGGAAACAGACTGATTATATATTTCTGAAGCAAACATCATTCTTCATGATCTCCCTTTGTTCTTGAACATTAAATGCTAAATGTGCAACCAAAAATTTGCAGGTTCTCATTTTGAATTTATGAAACATAAATTTAGAAATTCCTTGACCTGCTTGATACTAGTTCAGGTGCAGCATAGATGTAGATTACTTATGTGACTATACTTCTGTGATGTGTTCCTCTGACTCAGCTCTTATAGATCACTTGCAGCTTACCACGTTTCAAACTATTTCTGTTTTCCTTGTCACATGTCTTTGCAAGGAGTTATAGCATTATTTCTTTAAAATTAAAGCATTACCTGGAGATATGAGGTTGGATTTGCCTGACTTTGGATTTGTAACTTGTATTTCTATATATGCCTGGCATTTAGAAAATTTTGCAGTCATGTTGCATAATACTGCCCACAGTATTACTCAGAAGTAATGCATTTTCTCTTAACTGTCTTCACCTTGTACATTTATAATGATGTGAAAACAATGAACATAGCTACTTATTGTTAGTTGACAAGGACACACAAGTTTTAATAAAGTTAAATGTACCATTCCTTTCTCATCCTGATAAATAAAATTCCCCCTCCATAAACACACCTCTTCACAGAGAGACAAGAAACAACTCAGGATGTCGGTAGTGTCTCTAACATTAGGCATCTGTGTACTTCAATTACAATTCTGATTATGTGAGTAGGCCAACTCTTCACATTTTGGAATAAAACTCATGTAACTGTTAATCTATTATGTCACAATCAAAGCCAAGAAGGTGAAACTTGTGATTTGAACATCTGGGTAACCACCAAATAAGTAGGATATAGTTTTGCACCTCTTTTCTCATTCTGTGTATGTGTATAACAATGGATGTAACCATGATAACAAAGATCACGTATTAGATATAACAGATTTTCTTACAATCTAACCATTTGGGATGTTACAGAACTCAGAGGAGGTGAGAATGTAAAAAGTAGCTGTTTAATAGAAAAACGATTTAATGAATTTCTATTGATGGTAAAACTTTTTTCATTAGGATTTTAGTCAACAATGCAGAATCAATGTAACCACTCTTGTGCATGCTGTATAGCACATTCTTGGGTATTATAGTTATACAAAAATATTTCTTAAAACAAGAATAGAGAACAGACACTGGAAACAGCTGAAGCTGTGGCTCTTAAGCTTTGTTTATAGACATGGGAAATTTAAAAATGTGCAAATTGAGATTGATGGGAAAGCAAAGTATAATGCATCCCATGTTACTTGTTCAGTATCATAGCCCATGGGCCAGTGAAAGTTGGGGACCACTGCAGTAAATCATTTGCTAGCAGAAAGTGTGCGGCTGACTATATATCCAGTTTTAGCAAACCAGTCTATGATAATGTGGTACAGTGTTAGTTTTGTTTTTTTCTGATATTCTACATCAGTTTCCTTGTTTTTTCCCCATAACTCTGGAGTCCTTAAGTAAAAATCAACACATTTGCTGACCTTTTTTCTGTACTGTATATGAATATAGGTTCAAGTATTTCTCCTATATGTATACATCAGATACTGGCATCCAAATGTACAGTCAACATCTATAGTTAATGAGTGGGAAACCACAGACTGAAATCCTACTGAGGGCTGCTTCAAGGTCACCCCCAGTCAAGTTAGGAGAAAGGAAAGTCAAATGTAAACACATCATAGAAAAATCTATTGCACTAAGTGTAGACCTCACTATGTTACAAAGTCAAGGGTGGAACAGGGAGGCCAACCCAGTAATCTGTGAAAGCAAATTTGTATGTATTCATGCACATACTAGATGATATGAGCAAAGTATTTCTAAGCTCTCTAGCATGCTCTTAACTTCCCAGTGTTAGCAGATTAAGGTGAGCCATTTCTTTAACTGAGTATATTGAATGTTTTAGCAATTTTAAGCTTAAGCTCATATTTAAAAATACTGTTCACTATCAGGATATGGACTCTGCTTTTCTTCTTAGGCTATTTTCATTTGTTTCTTCTGCACCCTTTTAATGGAATATATAGGTCTCTTGAAAGGTAAGGTTGAAAATTGCAAGTCTGGCCTGCACAATATAACAAATGATTCAAAATGCAGCACTTACACATTTTTATTCTTTTTTACTAGTGAAAAGATCAGTCTGTTTCATTTAACTAAATTCATGCTTCATTCATGTTCAAGGAATAAAGAATTAAGAAGTTTAACAGACTAACTTCACAGCACACCATAAGCTTCTTTTGAAGAACAAAGAACCTGTTTTTATTTATAACTTTACAACCCCCCTTTTTAATGCTTGCACTTCTCTCTAAATTGTGTCCAAATTAGGAGCACAAAGCTTATCATGAAAAGCCATGCACGATGGGAAAAAAACACTCCCTCTACTGAAGACATCCTCTGTTTAAACCATTACTGCACCATATAGTCATGCCAGTTGCATCATATTAATTTGCACCTACAATTTGATTGGGTTTCCTAAGGGGATTGTAGGGCTGCATATATGTTTTTGAAAAATCTGCATGCATGGCTTGTTTTGCTTTTATAAAATATGTGTTTATTAATTATTTTCATTTCCCTTTTATTTTCAGTGATGCAGAGGACCATAAGCCTCTAAAAAAAGGAAGCCGGACACCTTCAGACAGGACTGTGAAAAAGGAAGACAGTGATGATAGTTTAGTTGACTATGGAGAAGGTGTAAATGGTCAGTTCAATGAAGATGGCTCATTTATTGGACAATACAGTGGTAAAAAAGAGAAAGAACCTGCAGAAGGAAATGAAAGTTCTGAGGCTCCTTCTCCTGTCAATGCCATGAATTCTTTTGTTTAATCAAAGAACTCAATTCCCTTACTACAATATCTTCCATTACATTTAAAGCACTCGTACGTCCTCCTCATACATGAACATGAAGGTAACAAAGCTCCTCACTACAAGACGTTTATGCTATGAGAACATGTAGGTCAATACAGTTGTCCAGTATAACAATATGCTAGTATGTATCAAAGTGCAAAACTCAAACTTTATTCAGACCGTGAGTATTTTTACTTTTTTAAAGGAATTGACACACACAAAAAGTAATATAACATCAACAGAATGTTCTTTCCTATTCAAATTACAGTATGATGCATGAAAAAATGCCACCCATTTCACAGATAAACCTGTGTATGCTATCAAAACATGGTTTGATACTTTGTTATGCAGTCCTCAGCTGAATCCCTGCATATAAATTCCGTTTTCATTGTCAGAGTGTTATAGTAGTATTATATAGAACTTCAATGTCTTTGTGGACATTGTTGTGAAATTGGTGACTTAATGTCTAGATATCATATGTCTTTTTCAAGACAGTTAGGAACAGTATGTACAGTATATAATTGCTAAATGATTTAAGTATGACACTTGCATTTGCTGATGCTTAATGAGACCCTGTTATCTGCTCTTTGCTCCTATTACTTTATAGCTTTTAATCTATCAAGTATTACAGCAGTACAGTGTTCTATTTTTACATCATATATATGTTGGATTGATTTTAGGGCATAAAACATTATGCATTGCAATGCATTTTGGAATTTGTACAGTCACTGAAGTGAAACTTTAAAATGAGAGAAAATATTCCAGAAACACAGGGCAAAATACATTCAGTGCCTTTATACAATATGCATTCCATAATGCACTGTACTACTAAAGAAGTTGGTGCAGTAAACTGTGATTAGTGAACTATCATTGCCAAACAAAGTAACTTGGTAAAAAGCAGAGATTTATGAAACTGTTGTGCTGAAAATGGAAGGTTTATTTTTTTTCTTATGACACAAATCACAGTATGATCTTATTGTTTTTTCTTTGAAGATAAAATAACAGCTTTGTAGACACTTAGAGCACAACATGCTTTCATGGCCTTACACAGTTTATACAGAAATGCTGAATTCAGATGCTTTACTAATGCAGCAATCCATGCGACTTTCTTATAAATTGTTAAAAAGTACCATGCCAGGAACAGCACATTCCTCTCCAACTCACTGCTTGACCAGTGTAACAGTTTGGAAATTATCTACAATGTGAAGCAATGTATGGATTACCACTCAGAACTACAGAATCAAGGAATCTGACAAGTGCTAACAAGGTTTAGTGGTAAAGGATTACAGCTATCAGTTACAAAAAATATTCTCTCTCACACTATATCAATCAAATGATTTACCTCCAAATATGAAATTTTATAACAACCTATGGTTGAAGGAATGCTCAGTTTCATTTGCCAATAAATTGGTTTTTCATAACTTGCATCAAGTTTAATTTTAAGTAAGCTTTTTATATGTAGATATTTTGTTGAATTTGTAAATACACTTAAAGTGTAGATGCTATATGCTTCTAGGTGTTACAAACAAATAAAACAAACAAAAAAAAAGCTTATGTTGTACTGTGTAAGAAGTACTGTAGCCAATGGAGTGCATGGTATTTTAAAGCATCTACTTTAATACATATATTTTTTGCTGTGAAAATGAAATAGTGAACTGTTCCACTTACTAACTGCAGATTTCTAGATAATACTTTCAGAGCTTGTGCCAGTGCATTACATTAAACCATAGTACACCTTGCAGCTTTTATGTATGTACTGTAGGTAAAGCACAATTGAGATAATCACAAATGGAAGTTGGCCATACAAGCACCACTAAACGTTCCACAGGTCCATTTTCCTAATACAAACACAAACAACAAAACAAAAAGAGCTCTACAACACTCTTTATAAAGCACAAAGAGAAAAGTTTCTTAATAATGTTTGCCAATTGGCATTGGTAACAGAGAAATATAATTTTACTCTTGAATTGTAGATGCTGAATTATCTGTGCATGTGAGGGTACACACACAGGCTTACTTCTGTAATAGTGCAACATATTTTGTATTAAAAATAAATGTGGTTTTAAAATTTCATTGATGTTTGTTCTGTTTACAATAGTACTTAAATTTAACCTGAATTGCCACACAATTAAGAATGTTCAAACTGAAAGACTGGGCATCTTCATGTCAGAATGAATGGCAAACTAGAGCATTGTCAATTTGTTCTTTATGTAACTAAAAAATGTGAATCAAGGACTGATCCAGTCTTACTGTAATCAATTTTTTTTACTGTTTTCTCTCTATGGATGCATTATTTAGTCAAAACTGAGGACGTGGTGCAAAAGGTAAGATCATCCAACTTTCTATCACTTTCCTGCGTCCTCCCCCGCACCAAAAAGAAGCACAATTCCTAATTATGTGGGATGGTATTTTCCAAATTAAGAACCTGAAGGGAGGCTTCTTCACCCATAATTAGATTCCTAAAGAAATTACCTGTGTTTCTAGAAGTGTCAAACACTCAACAAGTCTTGCTGACTACTGAAAGCCAATCAGTTTGAGTAGAATACTGGACAAAATCCATGAAATACAACTATCATGTCTGATCTAGTTTGAATTTGGTTGGAAAGAGGTTAGGCAGGTGACTGCTTAGTACAAATTCAATTCTTATAGAGAAAGGAGATCCAGCTGGGGATTTCATGAGATACAACTGCCACAGGAAATGCCCACCCTTAATTTGATGTTTGTTCAGGGTAATTTGAAAGAATTATTCTGCTATTGAGCCATAAACCATTTTACCAGTCCCCCGAGTCAGACTTCAGCATATCTGCATTATCATTGTTCCAGCACCTACAAGACAGAATTAATGAATACATATTCATGCTTATTTTTCCATAAAGGGGGGAATCTGTTGTTTTCATTGGCAATCAGGATATTTGTAAGGGAGAATATGGCCACGAAATGCAGCTGTTCCTGTTTTGATTTAAATGTAATTTTTTGAAAAACCTTTGAATCTCAATTGTTTTCTGTATGAGATGACCACTTCTTAGGGACCATGCTTATGTTCTTTTTTTGATACTCCCAGAAATATAGTTGCTTGAATAAAGACAGCTGCTACCATGGGTTTTTTTCTTTCCTTAGATTGTTAGCCTTTCTTTTGTTTTAGCGTTTTAATTTCTTTCTTGTTTTAATAAGTTCATAGGAAATGAGGGCAAATTACTTAGAAACAATTCCTGATGTTGTAGTTGCCTCTTCCACCTTCCATCTTGGGAAGAAATACTCAAGATAGGTTCTTTTTTTACTTCTGCGTACAAGTAGCAAAGTAACACAAAATCTTTGCGCTACTTGCACCACTCTCCGCTCCCAGCAGAGGTGGTGGAGTCACCTTTCTTGGAGGTGTTCAAGACGAGGCTGGACAGGGACCTTGCCGAGCTCATCTCAGCTCAATACTACCCCATGGCAGGGGACCGGACTTGATGTTGGTACAGGTCCCTTCCAGTTCTATGATTCTATTCTATCTGCCAACCAACTTTATAGGAATCCAGTCCTCTCTAGCTTCCAGGCAAAGCATTTTAACACTAAAGAAATAAGTGTTAGGTGGCATCATGGTCTGTGGTGAGAAAGATGAAAATGTCTTACCTTACCACTAAAATAAAAACAAAATGGGACTCAAGCATAGACTTGGGCCCTGACGTATTCTCTGAGAAACTGAAGAAGGATGAAAGGGGGTCTGTATTCCTCTTCATACAGTTTCCAAATCAAAGACTAAGGCATAATAGTGGACAGCTTCTCACTGCTCACCATGATCTCCAGGGATAACCAACCTCTCTTTTCAGAGCTATTTCCACTCAGCCAGTGCTGTTTCCCCAACTAATTTGTTCAGGCCAAGAGAAGAGGTCTGGGAGATAGTGGAGTTTCCAAAGATGACCTACTGATAGACTTATCTCAGAAAGCTAGTACATCCAAGCAGATCTGGGGTAGATTGTACAATCTCTGATTTTGCCTCCATGACCTTATTTCCTATGTTGAGCATAGACTAAGAGGAGTGAAACCAGCTCCAAGGTTGCGCAATCATGTCCAGATATGCAAAGCTTTGGGCTTGAAAGTGGGGCTTGCCCTGGGGAAGAACAGCCAGGCTAATCATAGAATCATAGAAGTAGGGTCGGAAGGGACCT